ATAAAAGTCGTTATATACGGTTATTTAATTGTTTTATAAATTCTGCATGAAATATGATTCCTGGATATTTAATATTTTTCCATCAAACATTCTTAATAAATGTCGGCAATTTTCAGGTAGCGCAGTAGAAAGGATGAAACATGATTTTATCTGAAACTTTTTACTTGTTAGCAAGGAAGTACTGTAACAGATGTTTTGCGCCGTGATTAAAAACTTTTCGTACGAATCTGAAGCAAATCGTTGACACACTTTTACATAGACACAAACGCTGACCCAATTAATGTAGTTTCATCTGTTTTTCTTTCACTCTGACTAAAAGCTTTATTTAACAAATGCTTTGTAAAATCGAGTAGTGTATCTTTTATAAGTTCGTTTGAAAAAATAATAAAGTGAAAACAACGTTCGTTGCAAAATCTATCATTTTAGAAAATGCGAAGGATCGAGTCTAGTTAATTATTTTGTTACAATCACGCTAATTACTTTATTTGGTTTGAGATTATTTAAGCAGAGTTCTGTAGTGCTAGCAAATACGCCGAGAAGAGCTTTGAGAAATTTGAGGGTAGGTAATTATCGAAAATCGTCATTTTAATTACATCAGCGGTTAGTGGGTTTAGATTAGATTCGGCAGTCGGTTAAGCATCGCTTCTCTCTCTCTCTCTCCCTGTTGGTTTATTCACTCTGTGCCACCTTCTCTCTCTCTACCCTTCGCCCTTTATCTGTGCCTCTCTTCTCTTCGCATTATCTTTCTTTGTCTGTCCCTCTTCCAGGGTCTGCCCTCCCACACAGCCGCGTGCAGATTTCGGTTGCTAATTGGTAGCTCCCTCGCGAATATTAATTATCATTCGATTCTGGGACACAGGTCGTTCTTGAATAATGCAATAATGCAGATAGTGCGAGGATTGCGCATGATGTATACTTTGCACGCCGCGATGTATTATGTATAACGTTTATTGCCATTGACTTCCCGCTCGTAAGCCAGAAGCCGTAGTTTTCAAGTAAGCCTTGATCCTATGTTTCTCCATTTCTTAATTTGTTACCCATTAAGAAAAGTTCATGGTCGCATCGTCGTATTTTATCTGTGTAGAATTCACGCACCCTTCTGATTTACTTCGTTTTTTATCGGAAAATGAATTATCGTATTTTTTCACGGATTTATGGAACTCAACAATTTTTTTTAATAAAAGGATGTATG